CAACTAACTGTTAGTAAACTCCCAGCCAGCCAAGCAGGAGGAATCAAGTTGGGAACTACCTTGAGTCTTTGAGCAGCTACAAGTGGCATAAACTTGACCCTTCCCCCCCCCCCCCCATGTCCCATGAAACTACCTGTTTGTTCCAGTGTTGGGATTCAGCCAGTTTGCACCACTTCGGCAGAACCAGTAGCTAATTTTTTGTTGCCCAGGCCCAAAATGGACTTCCGGAAGCGGAATCCACACAGAGAACCGGTTGTTTACATATTTGAATCCCATCACTGGTTTGTTCCCAAGAGAAGACAAGCATTCTGGGGAGATTCTTCTATTATAGGAAGAGCACAATAAAGTTATTGACTTGGACCCTTCACGAGAAGATCTGGATGCTTGCCCCGACACTAATCCAGACAAACTCCTGAACTTAAAATCAAATTTCGGGAAACCCAGAACTCCCATTCATTTTTTTAGAAAGTGTCCATTATCTCTTGAGCTCTTGTATCAAGATACTACTGGCAAACCTTCACACCATTACTAGCATCTTTGTTATTGTGAAGCCATCAGCAGAGTTGACACATCTTGGCCATTGCATCAAGGTTTTAAGAAATGCAAGAAATTTAGAAATAAATAGCCTTGATTTTTCAATTGTTCTTTCTTGCTAGCTCTTTTTCCTGGAAGATTATGTACACAAAATATATAATGTCACGGAGTTGGGTGTTTCCACAACATGACTCACTGGCATTGCTTTAATCCTTTATATGTTTGGATCAGTTCAGCATTAAATTTAACCCCTTGTGGATCAGTTCACTGGATCAAGTGACTACTTTTTTATATTCCCACAACATATAAATCCTCTTAGAGATCCAAGTAAGTGTATTGTGTGAACAGAGTAAAACAGAAGCAAATAATTTATTCCTGTAAGTTTAGATTTAGACAGACCTAGATTGATATTTCAAACTTTTCCAAATTGATGCTCCTATTACTATACCCAGTCCACTGCAAAGAGGGAGGAGAAGGGAGGAAGGCATACCACACAACCTCAGAAACTGGGCTGTCAGTAACTGCAAGCAATATTACAGTTGATTATCAATAGGTGGATTTGAAATTGATCCTTTGGGAAAGTTGTTACATGCATCAGATATCCAAGCTTTTGATTAGTGGCAATGTTCATTTGTTATTATAGCCACAAATATCTTCATATGCAAATAAGACTCACTCAGCTAACATTATAGCTGTTTTTCATAAATCATGCTTAGAATCAGACTTGATTTGTAAAAGAGTCACATATACTGTATTTAACAGGGGCTAGATGAGATCATCTTTATGAATGATAATGTAATGAGATGGAGCCAGAAGATAGAGAATTGTGAATATTTCCCCAACCTTATACAGGCCAATATTTGTGAGAAATAAGTGGGAAGCTGGTCGTTCTTTGGCCAGAGTTGACAGTTATACATACAGACAATTACAGTTTCAGGGCCACCAAATTCCACACAGAGTTCTCTGATTTATGGGAAAGGTAAAAAGAGAAAACCATGGATTTGATGCACTGGGGCAAGCACCAGGGGGCAGCAGTGAAAGATCCTTTGGTTCCTTTGGCTTCATTTCTTACTTGCAATAAAGATTCTCATCTAACTATGAAATTTCTCCTGAGTCTAAGTATAAGAAATTAGTTTAGGCATATATATGTCTGTATTACAAGTCCAGGTCAAGAGAGGCTGAAACAAGTATAGTGAAAAGAAAGAACTAATTGTCATGGCCTTCTATGAATGAACGACATGTATGTATTTGTATCCATATACGTGTGTAACAAATAAAACCACATAATTGACACCACAAACTTCCCATGAAGTGAATGATTCTCAGTCATCCTGGTCATAGTTGTCTCAAAGGTGCTTTTTTTTTCTTCAAAAGGTTTTTTTCCTTCCTCAGAAAAAAACAGTCCAGTTGCCTTTTGAAGAAAAAAAAAAAAGCATCTGTGAGTTCCCATGAACTAGTTTTAGGGTATCCACACAGTGGTGAATTGTGCAACCTCTCCAATTTTTCATTTTCTGAAATAGGAGTGCACACTCATAATAATGTTTAACTCTATATGGCTCAAAAAACCTCACTTGCTGATTTCTGCCCATCAAGGTGTATTAAATAGATAGGAAATTATATTTTTCTAATAAATTGGTGACCCCATCCAGGAGTTCCCAGATGGCTTCGCCATTAGTATGGATTATTATGGAGAAATTCCTGAAAAATATTGAGTATCATTAAAATAAGAAATGTCCAGATTGGCTAGCCTGAATTTTTGTGGGGTTCTTGTGACAAATTCAAAACTTGTAGGTGCTTCTTTGGAACGATGAGTGGCTCAACAACAACAACAACAACAACAACAACAACAACAACAACAATAATAATGATATAGATGGAAGGGACCTTTGAGGTCATCTAGTCCAATCCCCTCCTGAGGCAGGAAACCCTTTCCATGACTTACAAGGTAAATAGGAGCTTTGGCTGGAGATGTTGACGAATTCTGTGCAGTATTTTTGAGCAGGCTTTTGCAGAAGCCTTTTTCTTCATTATTATTATTATTATTTATCATTATTATTTCTTGCAGGAAAGGAAAATATTCCAGATCAAGGGCAAATTGCCAATGTGACAGAGTGTGTTGCTTAGGGGAGACCATATAGTATTACCTGGTATTAGTTCTGTAAAAAATATAGAAAAGAAATGTTTGGCAGAAGATACTCCCTTTCTATTTGTAAACAAGACATTAAAGAGAATTTTGATGATTTACTTAGAAATATTGACTAAGATCTGATGCCTCCGAGAGATATGGTACAATGTCAAGTTCTAGCATTGAAATGTTCTCAAATATCTTTACCTGTAACTTTACATTGTTTTATTCTAACGTGTATCTGCATGTATGGGTGGGAGAGTGTGGTTGGCTGACACTTTAAGTCTCTATGCTATAGTGGCTTTGAGAAAAAAAAATCTTTAAATTAAAGCTGGAAACTCCAAGGCAACCTTGAGAATCTTGATGTACTAGGAAAGTCCATAGGATGCTATGAAAATATTGTGTAAAAGATAATAGTGGTTAATAACTTTTTAAAAAGTTATTTATGTTCCTTTAGCAGGTGGACGGTAAACATTTCTTAGAAATATATATTTTAGGCATACTTTCCCATTGATATTTTGATTACCAAGATGGTAATGCTAATACATTTAAAACATTCTACTGCTTGTCAATAGTTGCTTTCTCTCTCTGTCTCTCTCTGTTTGTGTGTGTGTGTGAGAGAGAGAGAGAGACAGAGATCAACTATTGGCAAGCAATAGAATATTTTAAATGTATTAGCATTAGCATCTTGGTAATCAAAATATCAATGGGAAAGTATGCCTAATAGAATGGATAGTTTTTAGATCGGCCCTCTGGTTTTCTCTCTTTTAAATGGATCTGGAATTGAGATAACTTAAGAAGTCTATTTTTTTTGGGGGGGGGAAGCTTTTTAAAAGGACAGACTTCTGCAAAGAAGGACATGTGACCAATCTAAAATGTGAACATCTCACTAGCTTTAAAAAGTTATAATTCTTTGGAAAGATATAAATCATGTCAGCAAGCCAGGATTGTTCTAGCATCAGCAACTTTCAGATGGGTGGACTTCAACTTGTGGAATTCCCCAGCCAAAGTTAGGGTTGGAGAAATTCTGAAACTTATAGTCCACCCATCTTAAATTTGCTGAAGTTGAGAAACACTGTTCCAGGTCCATACTTGCAAAACTAATGCATACTGATAGTATAGAACATCATGAAGGATACTTCTTAACTATGGCACCTCAGTGACAAAAGCAATAAACTGGAATGAGAATACCATAGAGAGGGGAGCAAGATATTTAGGCAAACATGCTAGTGAAACATTTTTCATTGTAATAAAGCCCGCCAGGTGATCATTCCCAAGGCTTCACTTGCTAAGCATTCCTTGATTAGCATGGCTAGAACACAACACAGCATAAAGATTCAAGCAAATCTCTTGCATTCTCCTGCAGGTTGAACAATTTAAATTGACTAGCAGAGAACTATATATGATCACCCCACCACCACCACCCCAAAAAAAAACAGAGTTGGGTTATGCATTGTTTTAATGTAATGAAGCAACAAATAAAGCCTGGGTCCTGAAGGGGACATCTATAGTGAAAAAGAAATCACTGTGACTTGCAATTTCCACTCCTGATGAACCACAGTGGGGCTTCCACAGCATTCAGCTTCCAACAGACATTCTGACTCTGTGTGCTCCTAAACCCTCTCTGTCTTTCCAAAATAAAGATTCCAAACAATTTTTATTTAACAGTCCAAGATTTCATTAGGATTACAATAGTAACCTGCAGCAAAGGGATTCCTTATGACTGCAGATTGAGGACTACTGTTTTCCTGGTTAAAATGATAACTGCTGGTTTATAAGGCAATAGACGAGTCTTTGGCTCAGTCCCACATGTTCCTTGGGGGAAACGACATGGGGGGGACACAAAACCTGGGATCCTCCCACAGGAGAATTAAATCACAGCACCAGCGTATCATACAGGAGTCCGAGTCCACATAATGCCCAATGGCTACCCTGCCTTTTTAAAACCGGGATAATTTATCTAAGTATTAGCAATTGGCATTATGGTACTACCCAGATTTCAATAGGCAAAACACAAAAGGGAAAACAGCTCAGGCAATTTTAATCTTTCACATGCATAACACAAAATAGATTTTTTTTTCTTTCAAAAGTTCAATGCTTGCAATCCATTGAAATAATAACAAGAACAACAGCAATAGCATTTCACAAATCATATTAGTAGGATTTTCAGTAGTACCAGGGATAAATACATGTCTAAACTTCAAAATTTCACAGGCAGCAATCCTTATGAGTGACCCCAAACTAGTTTTATTTAGCATAAATAAAATTATACCTCTCACGTCATTGAAAATCCTACCTGATCATTTATCTTTGATTTTAATCCTGGAAAAAAAAGAGTAGGTCATGGAAAATTGTTTACCCCATTTTTTGCCAAATGCTGTTTGCCCATGCAAGGCAGGGGCTTTAGTGCCTGAGGTATAGGTAGTTCCTGGATGCTTTTAGGGAAATGAGAGGGTGGGAGAATCTGGAGGATGGTTTGCATAGCTTGCAGGTATAAAGATGCAGGTGTGTTCCCCACCAGGCTGTTGAACTTGTCCTCTCCAAGCAGCACTGCCCAGGTTTTGGGATGTTCCCGCAAGACCTTCTGCAGCTTAAAGCGGGGGCTAGGCATGAAGAGCAAGAGGTAGTCAAGGCAGAGTTTTTTGGAAGCCACGTTGACTTTGGAATCCCACATCTGTTCCAGGATGACATCCAGTGGAGTGAGCCCTTTGTTGTCTTCTATCCTAGGAGAAGCTCCATTTCCTAGCAAGATGAGAACAGTCTCTGATCTCAGGAGCTCACAGGCGAGATGCAGAGGGGTCTTGCCATCTTCAAGATGAAAACAGCCGGTCCTATTGATGTAAGAGTTCAGGCTAGGCAGCTTGTGTGCGATGCTGATGATCAGCCCCAGGATGTCCCTCCTGTCATAGGTTACAGCCATTGCTAAATGAGGAGCAGAGGATGGGCAATAGCAAAAATGCTCTCCAGGAACTTTGAGAGCCTCTTCCGGAAAATGAGACAGCAGATACTGGGCATAAGGCAGATGATTGTGCACCACAGCATACAGCAAAGCTTCTGAAGGAGAATATGTCCTCATATTAGCACTCTCTTCCCAGTAGAAATACTCCATAGTCCTCATGTCCTCTAGCAACCACACAGGCTTGTGATCTCGGACAGCCTGATAGAACATATAAGATAGAATTTTGCAACGCCTGCTCTGGGCATCCTGTAAACTGGATGCATTGCCACTGGCCATATTTCGAGGAGCAGTCTCTTTTGTGCAAAAACGAATAAGCACAACAATAGTAGCAGTAATAGCAATTCTCTGTGCAATGGAAGGCTGGCTTTCAGTTTCAATGCAGAATCCAGAGGTTGCTGCACCTTCAGGCTGTCATTGCAGCAGCTTGCTCTGGACTGCACCAGCCAGAATGCATAGCTCTTTTCTGACGAGGGCTGTTCATCTCCACCCATTCAGTGCTTTCTCTTTCTCACTGCAGTGATTTTGTTGAGGTAAGCACAATCACGCCAGCTCATTTAACCATTGATATGCAAGCATGCAGCATGTTAAATCAGTTCTCCATCAGATTAACAGAATGCCAACCATTGTGATTTATTTATTTATTTTGAAAAACAGATAAAGAAATCAGATTACAGGAATCTGTTTAGAGAGGATTATGATTCCCTTTGAAATGAAAACCGTTTACATGCTCCCTACAGAATGTCCATGATAATTTGGTCTCTTTATGATCCAGCCTAGTTAACTGAAATGTAAACTTCCGTTTTAGCCTGACAGGTTTTGAATAATAGCCCCACAGCATAAGCTTGCCTACATCTGGCTACGGTGGCTGTGGGTCTAAGAAAATTCTGCTGTTCTGGGAAATTGGATATGGAAATCTTTAAAAAGTGATTGAAGTAGCCAGTAGAATTAAGATTTTTGTGATGCAGTGTAAGGGTAAGGTGCAAAGTGGGGCTGTTAAGCAAGTCTAACATTCTGGGTCTTCCTGGATTTGGAAGAGAGTTTATGAGTTTTTCATTGTTTCATTTTTAAATTAGCCTGCTTTACAGGTTAGTCCAGTGGTGGCGAACCTATGGCACGGATGCCAGAGGCAGCACTCAGAGCCCTCTCTGTGGGCATGTGCGCTGCCGCCGCCAGCAGTTTATCAAGTCCATTAGGTCACCATGGTGCCCCGAGGCGGGGCCAAGGTGTGTCGGGTGCATGAGGAGAACAGGCTCCATGTGCGGGCCAAGGGCAAGATCTGTGAGGGGGCCAAGATGACCAGCAGTGACCTGCTCTCCAACCGCAAGCAAAAACAGATGGGATGGAGTAGGCGCGTCTAGCGGTCTGCATCACGTGTCTCCCCCCTCCCCTACTCTGTCTGCTGCTGGAGGGCTGGCCCGGTATTGGCAGCAGACTGCAGAGCCCCAGAGTGCACCGGTTGAGGGGTCGGCAGGCTGTGGCTGCTGACAGACACCATTGGCCCCCATGCACTCACTGGCCTCTGTGTGCAGGGGCTGATGGTGTCAGGCAGCAGCTGCCCTGGCCCCTGCCTCGCCTTGTGTTGCCCTGCGGCAATGGCACCCCCATCCTGCACCCTGCCTCACCCTGTAGGATGAGCCTCCTGAGCCACCGCCACATCCACCAGAGACCCCCTGGATCTCCCCCAACCCTGCATGGCACTCACAGGCTTCCCCAACATGAGCAACATCAAGGTGGCCATGCCCACCATAGCCATACCCACCCTGTCTGCTGTGACCACTGCAGTCACGCCCACCCAGTGGGCCATACCCTTCCCCCTTCCCCCCCCCAAGGGCACCACAATGCTGATGTGGCCCTGGCACTTTGTGATAAATAAGTGGGTTTTGGGTTGCGGTTTGGGCACTCAGTCTCTAAAAGGTTCGCCATCACTGGGTTAGTCTATATTTTCTGCCTTAGAATGGTAGAAAACCATATGACTGATTTTTGCCACTAGAGCCAGGACAGGTTTTCCAGCAGTTGTTTTATTGGTCCTCTAGTTCTCCCTACTTGGCACAACCAAAATTTGGTGGCAAAACCTTTGATTTCTGATTCTTTTCTTTTCTTCAAAGTGTAGAATTGGGGTGTTTATTTTGTACCTCTAAAAGCTGCCAAAAAGTGTTTCTGCCTTGCCCTCTTTTGCCACCACTACACAACTGAACACACACACACACACACACACAGGGAGAGAGAGAGAGAGAGAGAGAGAGAGAGAGAGAGAGAGAGAGAGAGAGAGAGAGAGAGAGAGAGAGAGAGAGACTCCTTGAAGACCTCAAGATCTCCTTTTCTTTCTTTTAAGTGAGCACTAACTAAGAAAGTTGCTTATTTCTGCTAGATTGTGCTGGTTTATTATGGAGATATTGTATATAAGAAGGGAACTTTCACATGAAAATAAAAAAATCCAAAGTACGTTTGAAGACTATTGAATATAAATATAAAAAAAAGAAACTGGTTTAATGTCTGGGGGGGGGGGAAGAACAGAATCAGAGCATTCATCATTTTTCTCATCTGTAACTTATATTGGCTTGTTGAAATTTAGAAATATACAAAAATATTTTAGTTACTCCTTACAGTTACTCTTTGCCTCCTCTTTTCTCAATGTTATACAAACACTGAAAGCAGCTTAATTTAATTGTGTGATATTATAAACTACAATACTTTAATACCCAACATAAAAATCTTCATCATAAAGCATACATGACAACATTTTCATGGAGTAACAGCCAGTTTTTCATGCATTTCCCAAACACATTGTCTATTGCTGCTACTCTCCATCAGTGGAAAGGAAAACACCCTCTGTTTTGCAGAGCAGAGTCACTATGAAGATGCAGATGAGAAAATAGCTTGGAAAACCCTCAGTGCAAGTGGGAAAGTCTGCTCACAAAATCTGCCTCCTGCAAAGTACTAAGCTAATTAAAGTGAGTGACATCAACTGTAAAAGAAATTATAATAAGGCAATTTATAGAAACCACATAGGTTTTTCCGCTGTTCTTGCTATGTAGTGTAGAATGCAGCAAATTCAGCAAATTCAACTATCCAAGAGTGTCTTCCTTTTATTACAATGCTTTTCATCCTTCTTTCAATAGACTGTTCTATGCACTATGGATTATGTTCCATTGCTTTAGTAAAAAAAAAAATAAAGGAAAATATTTTTTGTTGTTGTTTAGTCACAAAGCCGTGTCTGACTCTTCGTGACCCCACAGCACACCACCCCGCCCTGTCCACTGCTGTTTCCAGGAATCTGCCTAGTTTATGATCACTGCATTGATGGCACTTTATAATCAAGGAAAGGAATAGCTGTTTTCAACTAATTCTGCCCAATTTTTCCCTTTAAGTTCCACCTATTTTTCTCCTTTTACTCAATTTTTTATTGCGTAAGGTTTGCCCATATATTTCCTTGTGTAACATTACAAGAGTTTTCTCTAGCTCTTTGCTGCAACTTAATGGTTATCCAGACTTCTATAACGGATGTGATAGCTTCAGCCAAGAATGAATTCCTTTGTTTCTAACACCAAACATCTAGAATATATGGTGGAAAGGATAATAATTCTCCAGTTCATGCAAGGTATAGGCCAGGGGTAGGCAAACTCAAAAATCTTCAGCTTAAAGAGTCATGCTCCCCCACCTAATCTAGACTAAAAACTGAAAAGGTTTCAAAGTAGATACATCGTTACCTAGAGTTTTCCTTATATATTGCCAGCTCTTGTTTCTCACATCCAAGGCTAGAACAGGGAGAGAATGATGACGTGATCACATGTCAACATACTGGATGTTCCTGGATCTTGTTTTACAATTCAAAACTATCCCATGGTGTGTTATAATGGGCTCAGAGGCAACAAAATGCACTTAACAAGAGGGCATTGTTGGTGGCTGTCACGAGCCCATTTGTGCTGTGGAAGGCGTATATTTGAATAAATCCCTTTGCAAGTTTCTGCTCCAGCACAAATAGAATCCTGACTGCCACTACACAACTATTTGCTAATAATTGGAGAGTATAACTCTATTGAATTGTTTTCTTATTTTATTTTTTATTTCTTATTTTATTCCCTTTCTTAGAAAACTAGGTTCTCAGTAGCTTTAGGAAGTGGATGCCTTGCGATCCCTTATAACAGGGATTATTCTATGTGATTCTGCTAATTTAGAAAACTCTTGTCTAGGCCGATAGACCAGTAGTCTGAATTGGTATTCTCTCTATATAAATCTCAAATCAACTTGAGTACTCTTTCAAACAGTTCAAACTAATCTTCTGATCATCTACAGATAATTCACAGCAGCTGGAAGAAATTGCATAGGCAGACTGGGCTAAGTACCTATTACTGGATTTTCCAGGGTACTTAAATATACTGCTCACAAAAATAAAGGGAACATTTTACCATGGAACTGAAGGGGTTTGTGTTCCCTTTATTTTTTTGAGCAGTATATATATCATGATGCTTAATATTACTTTAGAGCAGTTGGAGTTCTCTGTCTCATGGCAACAATACATAAATGGATGAGTCAGGAATTTTAAATTATAGAAAATAGCATAATATTCACTGCTAATGCCAAAAGAGGCCTACATTCATGGTAAAGTCTATCAAATACTCATATCATAAATAAGGAGAAAGACATACTCTATTCTATTGAAAATGTTAAATTATCCAGATAGCTCTAGATAGCAGAATTAGAAAAGACCAGATTGTTTCTGTTATTATCTTCATGGCAATCTCCCCATTTTTTAAAAAAATGTTGGATTATCTAAAAATTACAGAAAGGATTATGGATTACAATAATAAAAATGTGATTCCCAAATTAAGAGATGGAATATATTAATAAAACTTGAGCATTTTAAAATTGGACAGCTAAGTAATTGGGTGGAATTTAGGGACAACATAGAAATCTGCTTTGTGTGTATTTATATCTGATATCTTTTCCATTTGTGAATGCTGCTTTTAAATATTTATTTCCCAGAGTTTCATTTTGGAATAAAGTCGCACAGCTCAGTCTGACATATAAATCAGAGATTAAAACTATACCCATCAAACACCAGAGTGATATCTCTGACCACAATCACATGTTCATCCACATAGCCAAAGAGGCGTAAAGGACTAATTCGTAGAGAGATTTTTTATTCCCTGGAAACATATGACTGTATTAAAGCTGTTCTGGAGAAGTGCCATAAATATTCAGCCACCTACCTTCCCTAAATGAATGACTATTTAGATAATTGCAAACCAAAGACTTCTATACTCAGTCTTGTCTTC